CCACACCAGAGGACCCGCCAACCACCCACCAATAATAATCATAAAAACAAAACAAAAATATTAATAATAATACATAATAATACATGATAGGAATCTATATATAGTGCCTCATCCCAGAAGTCTCTAAGCTCTGTACCATGCAGAATTATCACTCAGCATAGTTGTTGAATTAAAGGATGGAAAATGCACATTGTGAGACCATTTAGCCACACATGCACGCACGCTCTCACACACACATGCACACACGCACACAATCCCACATACATTCCCACATGCAAAATTTACTGGCAGAGGATAAAAGATTAGCTCAGGATAACATAACAAACCCACTGTGGTAAATAAATATGTATTGTAAATATACACACGCTGTTGTCCTCTCAATCTTGTTGTACGGTGCCCAGACCTGGACAATGTACCAAAGCCATACCAAAAAGCTCAATCATTTCCACATGAAATGCCTCAATAGAATTCTTAACATCAAATCGCAGGATAAAATACTAGCGACAGAAGTTCTCAAAAGGGCACCTGCTGGTAGTCGCCGTGAGTCTGTTTTCTAAGCTGAAAAAGACTCAACTTCGCTGGGCTGGCCATTTCATAAAAATGCCTGACTTCAAAATCCCAAAGGCAGTGCTCTATTCTGAACAGTCCCCCGGGAAGTGTAAAGTTAGCGCACCAAAAAGGCATTACAAAATACGAAAACACGCTTAAATTGTCTTTCAAGGACGATATGCATGAGCCTAGCTCTTAAAAGCTCCAGTTGGAGATAGTTTTAGTTTTAGTAGAGGTTTTACTGCGCTCGCAACTGCATAAGGTCATATGAGCGCCAAGGGGTGGATGTCAACAGAGAAGTCTTTACAGGTAATCAGACTAACTCTGCTCACCTCTCTAGCTTCAACAGCACAAGGTCTGCTTCGACTATCAAGGCACCGCGGAAAAAGTGGGTCACAAGAGTGTGACAAACATACAAAAGAAGTAGAGAAAAAATGACAAAAGGAGGATTAGGAAAGTCAGGAAGTAGCAAGTCAAATGAGGCTTCATGAATTAGAAATGTTGAAGCTATGAGAGAAGCTTGCATGCTCTGTCTACTTGCCTACCCCCCCCCCCCCCCCCCCACATACACACACACACACAAACACACAAATTTAAAACATTAATAAAACAAGCCAACAAATACCAAGCTATATTAGGGTAAATGAAAGTCATTATTTTCATTTATATTTTCAAAGATTGAAATTGTCAAAGACTTTCTTCTTTAACTCTTTATCTCCGAGAGGGTTAAACCCACTACGCCGGGGCCTTTTTTGGTTCTAAATCTAAAACCAACAAAAACGTCATTAAATCGAAACTAGCAAACCTTTTTTCATAGTTCTTCATCTAATGAATGAACTTCCAGTATAAGAGACCTGTTTTCAGCAATTGCCAAAAAGTAACTCTGATGTCGAAGTCGTCGTATAGGAATGTGCCCGAGCCGCTGTCAGCGACTCACCAACACAGTGGTTCCGACCGCAAGCCACTGAGAGCGGCTTGCCGGAGATAAAGAGTTAACTGTACTTCTCTCAAATGAGGATGATTATGATACTGATAATGATATTCATGATTATTATTCTACCATGTTCCCGACCAAGCCCACAGGGCGAAACATTAAACTTCTACAGTGTTATAAATATGGAAATTCTCCACCAGTCTTTAGCTTTTTAAGAAATCTTTGTGCTTACAATAATGATGTTGATAATGATGATGATGATAATGATGATGATGTAGTCATTTATATTCTGAATTTTCCTGAGGAAGCCCGTTGAGGGCAAAACGTTGAACTTGTGATTAAATTTTTGGAAATACTACCAGGTCTTAACCGTTTTAATATCTGCTTTATACAATGATGATGATGATGATGATGATGATGATGATGATGATGATGATGATGATGATGATGATGATGGCTGTTTGTGAAGATGATGGTAAAGATAATGTTGGGCTGTATTAGTATCTAAATTTACTTTACATGCACTGACTGAAAATTACTCGAGATTACTCCCCTTCCCTCCTATGTTGTTTCTACAATGATGATGAAGATGATGATGACGACGACGATAAAAATGTTGATGATAAAAACAACATGACAATAACAAGAGACAACAAAAAGAAGACAGAGAAGTTCGTTGACCTGGGTCCATAAACTGGAACGTCCTTGGCAGAATCCCGTGGTCAAGCCTTGGCAGCAAGTATGCACCCAGTACCAGAGACTTTCCGATACGCAGCAAGCAAGAGAACACGCCCATGAAGATGTTGTAGAAGAACAGGAAGTAGGTGAAGATGAAGAAGATGCGTCTGAAACGGGGGGAAAAAATGCGGGAAAAAGGTTTTTTTACAAATATATATAGTCAAAGTTGTAAAAGATTGTGGTTTCTCAGGCAAGTGGACGTCTTGGATAATGCGACAATTATAATTTTCTTTCATTCATGGGGTGGGGGGAGGAGCAAGTTAGTTTAGTTTTAATAATAGTTTTACACACTTGACACACAAATAGGTCATATAAGTGCTGCAGTTTATATATATATATCACTAGAGACTAACTGTAGTATAACATGTATATATATTTAACTCATATAAGTGCTGCAAATTAAATATATCACTAGAGACTAACATACAAAAAAAAAAAAAAAAAGGAGGACGATAGACGTTGGTTAGGAAGGAAGGAGCAAAGCACACTAGAGCACCCACCAACCACTCACAAGGTGGGGTGTGTGGGGGTGGAAAGGGTCGCTTGTACAGGTGACTGTCTTGGACAGTTGGCTGTCAGAGTTAGAGCGGGGGGGGCTCTCGTGGCCTAGAGGTTAAGGTTTTTGCCTCTCATTCAAAAGTCAAGGGTTAGAATTTGGGGAGCGACGGAAAAATTTTCTTCTCTAAAATTGTCTCCTTTCACCCACTTTCCTGCTCTCTAGCAAAATGTCCTATTGTCTGCTTTTGTCTCCACTTTCTGCACCCACCTCCTCACCTCCTTTGCCCCCTCTTCTGGGCTTTTGACTCTTTCTGCAGGCTTTCTACCGATTCTCCTTGGCTCCTTCTTCCTGCTCTTTCCGCAACACCCCAGATCTTCTGGTAGGAAAAATCTACACCTAGCCTTCTCGGATAAGGGTGAAAAATCTCAGAGGTCCCGTGTGCCAGTTACGCATGTTAAAGGTCCCACCTACACACCTTCCAACCACCCACACATACCCTCCAACCACTCACATACCCTCCAACCACCTACACACCTTCCAACCACCCACATATACCCTCCAACCACCCACACACCCTGCGACCACCCACACACCCTCCAACCACCCTATGCACCTGTTTGTGAGTGCCAAGCTCTCTCCAAAGCTGTCCAGAAAAAACAGTTTGGCAAACACCACTTGTGAAAAGTTGACAGCCAAAGCAAGGGCAGGAACAGGCCTGGAGATAAAAAAAAAAAACAAAACAACAACAAACAATTATCAAAGAGTTTTGTTTTAGTAAGAGTTTTTACAGCACTTGCAACACAGTTAGATCACATAAGTGCCACAGATTAGAAATGTTAGTTGAGAGTAACCTAGAGAGCAGACGACAGAAGATTGTTAGAGAGCAGGAAAGTGGGTGAAAGGAGACAATTTTAGAGAAGAAAAGAAGGAGGAGAGACAACGACAACCGATGTTTGATAGGAAAGCTGGAGCAAACTACACAAGTGCACGCCCGCACAACCCATCTAAAAAGAAATCCAAATTAAATGAGGAAACTGCTAAATTTTACATCATTATACATGTTAAGTCTAAGATAAAGTATCTTTTAGGTTTAAATCCTCCCATCAATTAACATAGGAAGGAAACAAAACAGTAATCACTATGGATTTTGTTAGTGTTTGAACACTTAATTGGCTGCTTGGCACTGTATGCATTCTGGGAAACTGAGAATGTTTCAGAGCATTCTACGGTCTCCTGAGACAATGTAGATCCATCATTGCCTTTCTCACCCTGCACCAGGGTATAGGCCACGGACAAACACCCTCCACTTTTCTCTATCCTGGGCTAGCCTCTTGATGTTATTCCATGTCTTCCCACTTTTCTGTACATCGACAATGTAGATGGCAAGCGCATAATATAGCTTGCAGTTGAATGGGAACATGCGTTATACAAATGTTATTATGATTATGATTATTTACCATTACTATTATCTGTACAGTCAGTCAGAATATTCTCGTATGTCTCTATGAACAGATGGAGGGGATTCAAATGACCCCATGGAGAGGGCAGTGACACGGCGAAAGTGTCTTCCATACGCCAAGCCGCCTCAGCGGCTCGAGAACCCACCTATAATTCTAGCTTAGATTTTATTCCAATCCACAAATCCATGTTGAAATAAAGATTATAATATAACAATGACTTCCGAGTCAGGCCGTTTCCACCGAAAATCGGAAGTCTTGATTCAGTTTTGAAACACAATTTCAAAGTTTACGCGACTTTGTTTTATCGTGATTCCCAAATTATAGCCCAGTCACCAGTCTTAATACTTGAACACAATAAAATGTATCATTATTGTGCTCACTAAAGAAATGTAGGACTCTTCTTCAGAATATTGATACTAGTGGATACAAATTGCCAGTGCTCTGTTACTGATTTTTCAGTAACAGAGCACTGGCAATTTGTTGATTGTTACTGAAAAATCAATATTTTTCAGAGTTAGATCTAGGTCTAGGTCTAGAGTTAAATTGTTAAGGTATTTTTTTCTCTCCCCCAAATCACTATTTTTTGGCGAAATTACACAAAAAGTACCCCTCAAGACATGTATAGGTTTATTTCAAATGCAATTCTTAATAATTCCATGTAAGATACAAGTGGCTTTTTTCTGTTTGTGAATGCATCTTGTCCTTTTGTCAAGACTTTGAAATTTATTATTTTTTTTCAATATCCGACATTACGATCCAAATGTACAAATTTTATAGAATGTATGTAAATAACTGCAAATTTTTCAATATTTTCCAGTTCTTAATTCATTTACGCTTATTTTGATGTATCATTTGACTAGGTGCAAACATATTGTTTTAGTTTCACCAAAGATTATTAATCTAATTTTTTAATTTCCAAATTTCATCCAAGAAAAAGTGTGTTGCATAATCGCCTCTTACAGGAACCAAAGTTGAAAAGTACACAAATAAACATTACAAATGTATTCTACATACCATTTGAAAATTTAAGTATATAATATGTTAATATTTATTTAAATTTGTGGCCCCAAAGACCAGTGAACGGAGCACTAGTCACCATCTCATTTCACCCTCCCGAAAAAAATTTGTCCACAAGCCGAAAATAATACGTAGCGAATATGTTAAAAGAGGTTCAGTTGTTAGTGACAACAGAAAATTGCTTACCACAGAGTATAGAGCATATCCACCGCCCAGCTGGAGATGTCGAAGATAAAGAGGACGATGACAGTAGCGATGAGTAGAAAGAAGATGAAGAAAATGGCCGTTTGGATGATGAAGCCTGAAAAGGTAACACAAAAATCATACAATGTTTTGGCCTTTTTTTTTGTTATTCATACAATGACCAAAAAGTTGGTAGGATTTTAGGAAATGGTAACACAAAAATCATACAAGTTTTCGGTCTTTATAAGGAATAAATGCCTTACAACATATAGATAGGCCATTATGACGATAAAGCAATTAACAAATTGGTAGGAACAAAGAAAAAGCAAAGAGAAAAGAAAGTCAAAATAATAGCACATAAGTGCTGACTGAGCAGGTTACTACACTGTACATCTGTCATGTTATAGACATACATGTAGAAGGAAAATGGGAACAAATGGGTAAGCCTCTAAGGGTCAAAGTAAAGCAATCCAAACCTTCAGTTAGAAATTAAAGGGAGGAGCGACCCTTGAGGACCATTTTCTATATTTGTTGCCCGAGATCAAATCTAAGTACACATAATATAAGTTAGGCATACGCAATTTTGATACGCAATTTTTTTTGTATAGCTACAGCTGTTGCTATGGAAACGGCCGCCATCTTGATAAAAAGCAATGAATTTCAAATCCCTAAGGTTTTCTTATTTACTGACCAAATTTGGTGAGAGTATACCTGAACGAGACCCTATCAGCGGAACAGCGATTTTTTTTTTCATAAGTGCAAAAGAAAAAAAATTAAGAGAATTTTCCCAAACTGTAAAAAAACTTTTCAAACTTTCAGTTGAATAATCGCTTGCCAATGGAAAAGTGTTAGTTTTTTCCGCAAATATCTTCCCGTTACATTGATGGCACGCCTTTCCATCTATGTTTCCTGAAAGTTTCACGTCAAAAGGAAGAAAACTAAGGAAGGAGTAGGGAAAAAACTGCAAAAAAATGACATTTTGCGAAAAACGACAATTATTGTGAAAATTCACTATAGTAACCCACCCTCATGTTTTCAAAGGCAATTCATGAGGAGAATAAAGACTTTCTCTATTGTTTCCATGCTATTTTTAGACAAAGAACCAGTTGATCTTAAAAAATCAGCCAACATCTCAATGTGAATATCCTGACACAAAATCGGCAAAATCAAGGGTCACTCCTCCCCTTAAGAGACTTAGGCCCAAATGTGGCCCACTAGAGAGTGGAGACCCCGAGATAGGAGCACGAGGTCAAGTGAGTTCTAAATCTAGATGTAATCTAAAAACTGTGACAGAACAGATGTCAGAGCTCTTCTCAACAGGCCTAACTTACTTACCCCATGCTATGTAGCCTACTTGATAGCCAGCAAACCTCATGCTTCCAGCCTGCAGAGAGGACAAAACAACAGAAGAAAACAGACAATGAGACAATGCATAGCAAATAATGCAGACTCGAGTTTTAGTAAAAGTTTTAAGGCACTTGCAGCACAAAAATGTCATATAGATTCTGAAGATAGAAAGTGGAATAAGAGAAGAATATACCAAAAAAGAGGGAGAGAGAGGGACAATAGATGTTTGATAGGAAAGAAGGAGCAAACCACACCAGAGCACCCGCCAACCATCCACAAAAAATATGGGGAAGGGATCCAACGTAAAGTATCAACCTACAGACTATTGAAAGTCAATTTAAGAATTGATATTTTTCCTCTCATATTTCTCATGGTGTCATTATTATGCACAAAAATACATAGATCTATATCTTCGCAATAAAATTTCTAAATGTAAAAAAAGAAGATCTTGAAATTATGACAGAAAATATCAGTCAAATTGTATAGATTAAAAGTAGGTCAAATTTGTACTAAGCTCATCATGATCTACTTTAGAACTTACATTTCACTTTACAGTATTGCATACAACATCAAAAGTTTCAAAAGATTAATTGAAAGCAACATAAAAGTTATAAAAGAAGATTTACCAAAAGCAACACGAAAAGTTACCAAAGACTTACAGAAAATAAAAAGTAACATAAGAAGTTTGTAAAAAAGACATACCAAAATCAGCATAAAAGTTACAATAGACTGACTAAAGGTAACATTAAAAGTTGCAAAATACTTACCAAAAGTAACATAAAAAGTTACATAAGGCTTATCAAGAGCAACATAAAAGTCACAAAAGACTACCGGTACCAAAACTAAAATAAACACTTTACAAAAGGCACACCAAGAACAGCATGAAAAAGTTACAAAAGACTTTTACAAAAGTAACATAAAAAGTGAAAAAAGACTTACCAAGAGCTCAGAGTTTGACCTCTCTGAACGGTCTGCCAGTTTGCTGTAATTCCCACGATGCAACGCCAGTAAGTTCCGTCTGAGTGCAGGAAATAAAAATAATAAAAAGTAACTGCGTAACGATTAACGTAGTACAGTAGAAAAATATATAATGGAGAGACAAATTATATTTCAGGCATGATAAGGGCATTTTAAACAATTTTCAAAGTTGCGCTCAAATTCAGGACTTCGTCAAGAACAAATCTAAGATTTTTCAAAACCCCCAAGAAACCCCCAAATCACAACACTGCTATACGATGCTTCAAAACGGTGCCTAAGAGAGAAAATATCAACCAGCATCTCTTGGTGTATCGGTGAAACGCCTCGCTGTCACATGCAGGACACCCATATTCGATTCCAGAGCGGGAAGAAATCTTTATTGAGTATCTCTGCCTATCTGCTAGAATACTGTTTCCTTCTTGACACAGGTTGGCCCTAACAGGCTGATCTGGAAGCCCACCTCCTAAATAATCTAAATTGGGTTGACGGAAGCGTAAAAATACCTATTTACGTGCAAAGAGAAGAGGGTAGCCGGACTGGGACTCACTCACCTGTAGGAGGGGAAGGCACTGATGATGCTCACAACGCCGAGCAGTGCAGCCAGACCCAGAGACACAAGAAGAACCACTGCACCGGGGAACAGACACAAAGAGAAAAAATGTTTAACTTGTAGCGTCTCTCTTCTCATTAGTGCTTTGCCTTGGTATATGACATAATATATATATATATATATATGTGAGGCATCGTGGTGAAATCATGTGCTTGTCAAAATAATTAAATCAAAGAACTGTGCATTTTTTGTGGGCAAAGGGCAATTTTTTTCTAGTTTTTTCTTTTTGGCTCAACACCTTTTAAGTTCATTCAAAAACACATTTTTGCAAAGGATTGTACTGAAAAACGTTGATTAAAGGCGCAAAAAATTTAAATGTTCAGTTTCCAATGACTCTCAGGCTATGGAAGTAAGCACACTTTGGTAGCCATTTTCTCGCTAATTTTATTTCTGAAACCAGGCGACCTTGATTTCCTTCAATCGTAAATATTTCGACTACCATTCAACATAGATGGATATTTTTTTCACCCAAAGGAAGGAAAATGACAACAATAGCCCTATATGCCTAAAAACTGATGAGCGCCTGACTCCACCAAGTCACGACACACACACACACTCATAAGTCATATATATATTTATACACCCAGTCGAAATTGTCTAAGACAGCAAGCCATTGTTGAAGAGAAAAGAGGCTGTCTTAGAAAGGTGAACATCTTAAACAGTTTCATTATTATGAAAAAACCAAAAAACAAGGAGGTAAACGGAATGTGGCCGTTTGTACAGGCAATTGTCTTATACCAGTGGCCTTTAGAGCAGGTTCGACTAAATCGACTAAATATATAAATTTATGTATTATGGGCAAGCTGTCTAAACGTCCCAAGTCAAGAAAACAAAATTTGTTCCGGAAAGTCAAAATAAGTTCTCATTATCTTACCAAGGCCAACCAGGGCTGAGAGGGATATAAAATCCCAGCATAAAGGCCGAGATACTCAAGGAAAATTCTCTCAACTTGGGAATTGAGCCCCCCTGTGCTACAGCAATGATAGTACATAACAAGATGGGCCACTTCTCTCTTTGAGCCAATTAAAAAAGTGTCCTCAAAATTTGGTGGCGCCCTCTTCACAAAAGCGCACTCTTTGCGAACAGAGTTACCCTACTTGAGTTTTTAAAAATCAAAGTGAAACTAGCAAGTTTTGGGATAAATTTCGGAAGAACGCTTTTTTAAAATGGTTACACTGACAAAAAAACCTCTTCCGGAGGAAAAGGTGATGGTTTTCTTCGTTTAATTTGACTTTAGAATGAAGGGCGAGAGGTCATTAAAATTTTAAAAAACTAAAACTCCGCACTGAACGTACCCGAACTGCTGATGAACAGCAGTCGATCTGCGCACGCAAGGAAGTGCTATTCCTATTCTTCTTCTGGAAAAACGAAAGAGAGCTTCAAAACAGACTGCAGCGCCATCTGAAGCAAAGAGCATACTTCCTGCGGACACTTTTTAGGCTGAGTGACCCATCTTGTCTTGTACTATCTTTGGCTACAGTGAAGCACCTAGCCGCTACACCACTGTCATCTGTATGCACACCGTAGCCCAGCCCGATACCAGCAGAGCTAAAAAGACCATAGTCTCACCTCTGACAACCTTGAAGACAATGATGGAGATACGAAGCACATCTCTGGTCTTCTTCACCAACTCAGAATCTGTGACCTTTCTGACCTCTCCCACTAGTTCAAGGTCATTCTCAAGGATGAGCAGGACAGCCTCAAAAAACGTGTTAGAGTACACGACACACTCAAATACAACCTGTTTGAGTACAGAGATGAACACTGACACAATAACGGTCATATAGTGCTGGGTATAAAGTACAACAAATGAACAGAAACAACACAGAGAGAGAAAGGAAGAAGGATCTACCAGTGGCGCCCTCCTACCACCCACAAATAAAACATAGACATGTGACAAAATAATACAGAATTGCATTTATGCAGACCACATTGACTGATCTAATTTGTTTCATTGTTTGTTTTTGTTTGCTTGAGATAAGAGAAGCACACTGACATATTTATTGTCTTTATTTGCTGGGATAAAGTAAGATAGACAGACAGACAGAAACAACAGAGGAAGAGTAAAGAAGTAGGACATACCAGTGGCACCTTCAACCCACCCGATGTGTGTTTGAGTAAAGAAAGGCACATCAACAAAATAGCAGTCTTTTGCTGCTGAGAAAATGTAAGACAGACAGACAGACAGACAGACAGAAACAACAGAGGGAGAAATAACAAAAAAAAGGCCCAACAAGTGGCGCACTCCAGCCACAGGCATTTTGGAAGCAATTGTCAATTAATTACTGTTCTAAATTAGTACTCATATAAAATGATGGGTTCCATCTGTTTAACTTATAACGTTATGCCACACCAAGCACAGAGAACATTACCAATGGAATGACACAGAGATACAGTCTTCACAAAAAGTTAAGGACCACTTGCAAAAGTGCACGAAACCCCCCCCCCCCCCCCCAGCAAATCAAATTATTCATTCTTTAACATACATTTATTTCATCAATCCATGAGAGCAATAAAGAAATTTCATCACAACCAAAATCAAAATGCATGATTCCCAGCATTCAAGAGGGACCCAACCTCAATATCGAAAATCACAAAAGAAAGGCGTGGGGAAGGGAATGTTGTTCCATTTTTGTTACAGCCACCCAAGCAGCTGCTGGCGAGCAAAGGGTAGTTCTCCCGAACTCTCCGATCAAGTTCAGCGTACAATTGTTCAATAGGATTGAGGTCTAGACTGTTGGCTGGCCAAACCATGCGGGTAATCCCCGCCAGCAGCATGAAGGCGTTGACGTCCTGGACCAGTGCGGCATGGCGTTGTTGTCCTGAAGGACAGCAGCAGGCCCAATCTGCTGCAGCGCCGTGACAACCAGAAATCGAAGGATCTCCTGCAGATACCGCTGCCCTGCCAATATGCCTTGACTTCCTTGCCGTGAATGGTGGACACATTCGTCTCTGACAATTCCATTGACATTCACGAACTTGAACTGGTCATTTTTTTTATATTGCTGAGACTTTGTGAGACCCTTTCTTTTGTGATTTTCGATTTAGAGGGTGGGTCCTTTTGAGCACTGGGAATGACACTTTTCGGTCTCAATTGTGATTAAATTTCTTTTTTGCACTTTTGGATTGATGAATTAAATGTGCGTCAAAGAAGGCATAATTAGATTTCCTGGTTCTTAATTTGAGTGTCTTTTGTAAGTGGTCCTTAACTTTTTGTGAAGACTAATAGTATAAGACTAGCACCCCACCAGTGGTGGAGAGCCCCCCCCCCCCCATTGATGGGACAGCGGTCTATTAATGTGTTCTAAATCTCCGCCGGGACAAAACAAAAAATGTAAAAAGTAAGAAAAAGGACTCATGCCTGGTAGAGGACAACTGCTCCAACCACCATGGTAGTCAGCATGCGGGAAGAATACCGGAATCCTAAAAGCAAAATAAAAAATATGGAAATGAATTACCTCCAGGAAGTTTTATCCAAGAATCACTATCTTATCTCTCTTTTTCTTGTTAATTCCTAAAATTGTATGAAGGATAAACTTTATTTATCCATTAGGGAAATTTTGGGTGGATTTACCAGAACATCAACATCCAAAGATTTAACATCAGCTTTGTGATATCCCCCACGTTGACCTCTTATTGACCCTCCTTGGTCACAGCTGATTCGGGTTAAGCTGAGCACTGGGACGCTTGTCAAAATTATGAAATCAAAGAAATCAAAAATTTTTTCACTCGTTCGGCAATTTCTATTGAATTGCAATCCTTCAATTGCAACAGGGCTGCCTATCTAAAAGTTCCCAGTTCAGATAAATTTAGGGTCAATTTCAAGTATTTAAAAAGTAAAACTTCACCCCAGTGATTGTAGTTACCATGGAGTGGGGCTTGCTTTTCATGATATTATTAGGTACTCGTTAATGTTTTTAAAATTTGAGTGTGTGTGTGCATGCCCGCATACGCATGCATGTGGTTATAAGGGTATGTTTTGGGGGAAGGGGGAGGAGGGGTGTTTGGGTGTGAATAAGCAGTGCAGCCCACTCACTAAGACTAAACTGAAGATTTTACTGTAGTAAAAAGAAAGAAATAAGAGGAAAAATAGGAGGCACTGGATCCACCGCATTTCGGTCAATAGACAATAAGGCTATATGGCGAATATCACCATCTGCTACCCCAAATTTTGTCACATGAGACAAATGTATTGGAAACATTCGAATGAGACCAGACACATTTGACAGCCTCTTGAGTTTGCTGGCACCATACATTGAACCCCCCCCCCCCAACCAATTACAGACAAGCGAAAGACATTTAAAAGATAGACAGATAAACAGAATACTCATATATTGATAATTTTGATATTGATATTGGTCTTGACGCATTTCTTGCTCTCCCGTTGCACTAGTTGTGGGCTCCACTGAAGTAGCGCGTACCCTTTTCAAGTGTTTGAATAGAACACTGTGCATTTCTGCTTGCAGCTCCATCTTCTGTAAGACATCCAATGTCATAACCTTGGGGGATCATGCTCTTAAAGAAGAGCAGGTCCTCATCTTCCTTCTATGGGGGAGCCGTCCATCACAACACGAGAGCAGACGGATTAAATTTTACGGCTGTCATAAAACTCAAAACACGCACGAACGACAACCATCACAACTGCACGAAAATGAACAGTTGGTGAGAACACAGAAAGGGCCCAAACAAGAGCGGCCGGTGGTTTGTGAAACTGACCAGCTATCATTCATATTGATCCATCCCCCCACCCCCACCCCGCCCTCCGCCACTCTCCCATACACACGATACACACAGAAACATTTTATACTGGTATCTTTGCTCTCTCCCCCCCCCCCCCATCCCCTTTTTCCACAAAACAACACACACACAAACAAACGTAAAGCCCTTGGGAAGATGGTCCCCTTCAACAAAAATTTTTTATATACATAATGATAATGTTAACAAGCTGATTTATAGTAGTCTGTAGAAACATAGAACCAAATGGATACCACACCACTGACGCTGTCCCAAGCAGACCAAGTCTGGGTAGAATCCTAAACAATAGGCCTGCAATACACTTAACACATATTTTCAGTGGATGAAGCAAGCACACAACAATTTCCAATAGCAACTCTATGTCAAATACTAATTTTAGAACACAGAGCTGGGCTGGGTGAGAACGGAAAAGGGGAAAAAAGGGAAGGGGGAGGGGCGTTGGGGTCCAGACTGACAGCTAAGTGCCGTTCTCGTCAGTCAGCCCTCGACTCTCACCTCTGTTAAAGATTGTGCTATAATAATGACTGGCCAAACCACCAACACACCCATGGCCCATCTGTGCTTTTTGGGGCCACGTAAGGTTGTAGCAGGAAGTAAGCGGGGAACAGAACACCGAACAGCAGCATGGGTGTCTCAAAATTCAATTGGCGATAGAGATTTGAGCCATCATGACAGTACGTGTACGTGATAATTGAAAGAGACTAGAGGCAGTTATAATGACAAATATTACTGATGAGATTGTAGGGTGTACTGTTCAAGACAGTCTTGTCCTTTGTAAGCAACGGAAGAGCCAAATTGGAAAGAAAAGTTATCTTCATGTGGGCTCTTTCCACTCTGAGGGCAATCGCTCAATTCATCAAGCTGGATGACGTCACCGCTGAGATGACGAAGGTGTGCATCATGACAGCAGCTGGTAACAATAACGTTGTGAGCCAGCGAGATAAACTGAGATTTAGGAAAGGGTTTCTGTGGTGCGACAACACATCAGCGAGCCCTTATTGTTTCTTTGAGCATATTTTTTATACGGAAAGTGCTATTTAAATGTTGATAAACATTAATTTGGATTGACTTGAAACTGAATATGAACTATAATCAGAAGCCAATCTCTTGTCCACCATAGCTGACTAAAAGTGACCGGCTCCACAGGTCTTGCCCATTAACGAACCGACCTTGGACATATGAACTAAAATTCTTTCATGCCTCTCATACATGATACCACACGATCGCGGATGTTTGGTGTGTACGAGCTATAAGGTGGGCAAAAGAGAGTGGGGGGAGGGATAGTTGTTGGCTGTGGGTCTGAACGAATTTTTTTTTTTAATAGTACAGGGTTTTACGGTGCTCGCAAATGCATAAGGTCATATGAGCGCCAAGGGATGGGTGTCAACAGAGAAGTATTTACAGGGAATCAGACTTAGACTGCTCACCTCTCTAGCTTCAGCAGCACAAGGTCTGCTTCGACTATCAAGGCACCCCAAAATAGCAGGTCACAAGAGAGTGACAAACATACAAAAGAAGTAGAGGAAAATGACAATAGTAAGGATCAGGAAAGAAAAAGCAGCAGTTCCCTGTTGTAGATCAGGCACAGTTATGAGCGTGACATGATGAATCAGCCCATTTACAATTCTACTATGCTTGAACGAGATATGTCCCCCCTTTGGAAATGGCCTAAAGACACAACAGTCAGTGGCACTGCCCCGGGGGTTGAATGAATTTAGTAAAAGAAAAAAAAAAGAAAAAGAAACAGACAGAAAAACATAACATGTCATAAGCTCCTGATCCTGATTGTGGAACTCAGCAGTATCACTTCCCTCTGCAGCGCCCGTCACAGTTAATACAATGTACACATGTAGTTTCAAATTTCAAACAATGATCTCTTGTTTGTTTCTTTTTTACATTCTTTCAGTGGCCTGGGTCATCTCCCACTACGCAGAAGCAGGAAATTTGAAACGACTTGTCAAGCGCATGCTTGCCTTAAGACTAGAGCAACAAGACTACAGCGACTACAGTTTGCTATGCTTAAGACTAAATCCTGGCATTAGAACAATTATGCTTTTAAAAGGGGCAAAGTGACACTGAGCAGGTCTGTGCATAGAGTACATGCTGTGTAGATATAAAGTGTCAGGAACGGATTGTTTTTTCTTCCTTATATAATTCCAAGAGGATGGGATAGGGTAAGGGTAGCCGAACGGCACATTAATTTTGAAAAATCAGAATCAAGGGTGTCACGATCATATTTTCGTAAATCTGAGAAAAAATCGTGACAATTCCTTCAAATTCGTAATGGTGGGCAGTCCTGCATAAATGAAGATGTACAGTGTTGAGGAGACGAGATGTGTTTTTTAAAGCATTTATAGACTGTCATTCAAGGCATTTATAAATTAGTAGGCCTACTGAATGTGGATTTTACTGCAGGGTGACTGTCAAACTGACTTCAAAACCCATAGCCCATACCAATAAAAACTATATAAATCAAAACATATTTTCTAACAATAGCACACCTATCTAAGGGCACTAACTAATACGTCCTGTATGACTCTAGTATTACAGTCAAATTTAACTAGTCTTCCTCTGACTATAAAAAAAAGAATCCTGATTTGGGCCTTTGGAAAGGCAAGAACATCAACTGTCAAAACCATGTCTGGGTTTCAGCATTCACTGATTTTAAAAAACGTGCAAGACAAAAATTATTAAAGGAAAAACATAGTTGGGCTCAAAGCAGAGCAAAAGTCTCGGGTAGAAATTATTGACATTTTGAGCTTTTCGAGGGTTGAAAATGGCATTTTCCATTGCCTCTATTCAGTTTGCCATCAAACCATTGATAGTAGCCTACGCAAATCCGGGCACATCCATCTTGAGGACACACCAAGTCTGTACTGTAATTTTCCTCCATTTACGCATTCGATTGCCTAATGTTACAACCTAAAACAAACCACTTCTACTTATCTTTTATTTGAGCATCAGTTTCTTACACCGAAGAATTATCCAGCTGTGGCAGAATCATCATACTGACAAATTCTCTAGATCTAAACAGATTTGGAAAAGTTTCTTTCTGATATACTGATTTTCTTTCTACATTGGCCATTCAGATTCCTTGATCAACGTACAGATTTTCCAGCCACAGCAAAATTCCGAAAATAGATAGAAAGAACGAGTGAATGAAAGAAAGGAGGAAGATAAGCTGTAGTAACTAGCCAGATTTTATGAGATTTGCAAGCAAAATGCTTTGCTGACCATCCCGTCATTGATTCACAAAGGGACAATAGTCGAGTGTACAAAATGACAAAATGCGCAATCTGGAAGTTTTCTAATACAACCTTTTGCACAGAATTACCGTAAATATCGGAGAAGTTAGGGAGGCAAGTTCAGATTCTTTACTACAGAATACCGATAAGTCTATACTATCTCTTTATATCTCTCTCTCTCCTTTTTTTTCTTAAACGTATTGAGTTGATATACTGATGAGGCAAGTACGGATCTTTTGGAAATATATGGGTTTCCGTAAATACAGGAAAGATTGGAAGCACTATAGAACGGATCCCATCGCAAATCCGGTAGCTTTGACACCTTTATCGGTGTGGCGGAAGAACAGGTCCAAAATCCGTAATTGGTAGATTTAGGAAGCCCTGTTGCAATCATTTCGATTTCTATTCAAGTTAGACAAATGAACAAGCTTTTGGATCATATCAATAACTCCACAGGCCTTAAAACTGACATAGCATCTGCTCCCACCTTGCTGTGACAGTTTCTATCTTGCAGCTAAAACAAAGGACAAAAAACCCTCACCAGGTCGGCTGCGGTAGACTCTCTGATTGAACAACTGACACAGATTTTGCTTGACCCAGTGAAGTCTGCTAGATGGGACCCTGACAATAGTAAAAAGGAAAATGCGGTCGAAATTATCCAAGACACTCACCTATTGTCGACATGAAAAGTGGTTGTCTTAAATAGGTTCATGTCTTGGATAGTGTCATAGTACATTAGAAATTGTCCAAAACACCTTCCTACTGTCATAAAGTGTCATTATAATACAGTTGAAAGTATCTAAAACTGCTATCGATTGTCGAACTGAAAAGCAGTTGTCGAAGACAGGTCAAAGTCTTAGATGATGTCATTATAATAAATTTTTTTACAATGCAAGGGGGAAGTGGGAAGTGGTTGTTTGTACAGGTAATTGCGTTGGACAAGTGGTTGTTAGAACAGGTTCGGTATTGCTATCACTGACAATTTAACTCATTTGAGCCTGAGTGAGCTATTTTAGATCCAACAACCATTGCAGTCTGACAGTTTTGGGGTATATTGAATCGTAAACAGTAACCACAAAAGGTCTGAAAGCTATCATAATCATACTTTAAAAAATGCAACAAAAGAAAGAAAGAAATGCTCTTACAGAAAAAGAAACGGCATCTACTTTGTATAAATAGATTTTATTTTATGAATATTTTTTAAATGGCAATGTCTGGGGGCTATGCAATTTTTTTGCACCCAATTTGTAATATAATCTCTTATCACAATGCGGGGATGACTGAGTAAGTCCGTTACAGATAATTAAGAATCACACATAACTTCGCTAAATTCTTAACGAAACAAAATAAGTGGGCCAACTGTTGTCTCGCCGCTTCCCGAAGCTTGTACTTGTAACCGAAAAACACCAGAGATATCGATTGATAAAGCACATCCCATAAATACACGGGATTCGGGCACCAGGCCAGCGGGGTGGCCCATAAATACACGGGAACAGGCTCAAGTGAGTTAAAACTTGACTGGGCATAGCATCCGTCAGCATCCTGTACCAATTCATGAAAGTGCGCAGTAGAAGGCTGCATTATCAGATTAGGTAGTTTTCCATGGTAACCGATTTAATTGATCATGATGAGGCACCCTGACTCTCAACGATATGGTAATGGGTTCAAATCCTGTTATGGGCTTTATGTTATGTCCTTGAGGAAGACAATTTACAAGAATTTTCCTCACTTCACCCAGGAGAGAATAGATACGTGGCAATACACCGTGGAAGACCTTGTCAGTTTGTAAGTGTTTTAGTGTATGTAATTTGCATCTTGCACTGCTTCCCAGAAAGTTGAGAACGTTTTCGAGTCATCTTGGGTCGGCTGAGGTAATAATAGCCGTATAGCCCATTGGGCATGCTGTAAAATGTGGATATATTTTGCTATACAAATATTATTACTATTATTATTATTATTATTACTAATATACTCTGTCACATTTTTAAGCATACACATTTTGAAGCTCAATAAAACAAAATCTATGCTACCAATTACTTTCAAACTTACACACTGATTACGTGATATACCTGTCGCTGGTGAGCTGCTTTCAGATTTCTGAACGCGTGAGTTGTTTTGTATCTGCATGCGTGTTACATGTTTCGGGTTTTTTGAAAATTAATCATGATACGGCAATGAATTGTTTAAAAAAGAAGCACAAAAACAATTCGCCAGTGATAAAACTTGTCTTGTCTACATTTCATGATGTCACACCGTACGACAAAATGTGCGAAATCAGCTCGTTGGAATGATCCGCGGGGGGGGGGGGGCTCAGTATCACTGTTGCGAGACATTTTAATGTAACACAAAGAACTGTGTACACAACAATGGATCGTGAGAAAACACTAAAATCAGGAAAGGATCAACACCGCCAACGTGAGAGAAGAAAAACTACTCCAAGAGAGGATCTATTTATACGCCTGTCGCATCTACAGAATCGTTTCAAAAAGGAAAGAAGAACCAGAGATGAGTTTAACAACATGCGACAACCTCAGCCTCAGACATTTTCTCAACTTGAGAGAGCATTGCTTGAAGAGTGGAATAACATCCCTCAACAGGCAGTACAGCGATTGATTGATTCAAGGCGGCGACAATGTCAGGCCGTCATCAACGCTACTGATCGTGTTACTTTTGTAGACTACCCCCACACTCTTGTCAGTCATGAATAAACATTCCGTATTGTTGTTGCTTTTTTCGTTTTTAAAATTGATTGAATTCGTATTCCTGAAATTTTAAAGAATATTGACTCCTTGTGAAACTAGCTATTTTCATTTTAACACAGTGTATACTTAAAAATGTGAAAGAGTATATTACTATAATTATTATTATCATTATTATTATCATCCTTATTATTACATGCACTATTATCATCATCATCATGGTTATTTTTATTATCATTTTTATCATTGTATTATTGTTATCATTATTATTACTTATTATTATCACCATTATCATTATTGTTATTTTATTATTATTATTATTTTTATTATCATTCTTCTTTTTCTTCTTATTTTCATTGTCATCATTATCATAACACCAGACACACAATGAGCTCCAGCGTACCTTGCTGCCTTTAAGGTCTTGAAGAGACTCCGGACATGGACCCCATAGTAAGCCTGGGCCACAAGATCTTCTGAATCATGGTGCGGGAATTCCTCCATGGCTTGCACAAAAAACTCCTTCCTACGGACAGACTGGATGAACCGGCCGGGGATGCAGGATGAGAGGTACAAAAGGCACAATACTTGCGGAAGACGTTTCAGCACGATGGCAACCCGAGTTTCCTGAAGGGAAAAAAATAATAACAAAAGTACCTTTCAGCAACTCTTTAACTCTTTAATTCCGATGTGCCAAGTATTGGGGCCTTGATATACAAATGCCTCTTCACCCATTGTTTTAAGTTTCATAGATTGTAAAAGAAATTTCACAACGACTCATGTATTTGCAAATGGGACTCAATACTTTTCTAGTGATTAATATACTTACTTTACTTTACTTTTCCGATCCAGCGGCCATTTGGGTTCTAGCCCTTCGGTCTGTTGATATGGCAAAGAATTTGCAGGTTTTAATCAGCTGTGCTTTGTCGCTGTATAGAGTATTTCCGATGTCTGGGGAGGCAGGTAGGTAGGTGCTACGCGGTCACAAAGTGCTGGGCAGTTAAAGAGGTGGTGTGGTACTGTTTCATCCAGGCAGTCCCACAACGGGCAGTCGGGTGGGGTATCTTTGCGGATACTATTAAGGTAGGAATTTAGTGGTATGTGTTGTGTTCGCAGACGAAAGATCGTGACTTGTTCTCTTCTACTTAGGGAATTCATTGTATCTTTAGAGTTGGGGGCTGTCAAGTGCGCAAATACAGTTCTTCCAGTTTTGCCCATTGCCCATCCATTCAGCCACTGTTCCCTGGTGTTGCATTTGATGATGTTCTCGGCTGTCTGTTGTGATACTGGGTGGTGTGGTTGTGTTTGTGATGCTCCCTTCTTGGCAAGGGTGTCTGCTGTGCCGTTTCCTGGGATGTTGCTGTGGTCAGGTATCCACTGTAGTGTCAGGTCGACGGCATAGGTCTGTAGGAAGGTGTTGATTGTTTGAGCCACGGATAGGCAGGCTGGGCTTTCGAAATTCAAGTTTTCCAAAGCTTGGAGTACTGACTTTCCGTCTGTGAAGATAATAGTGTTCTTGGTTTTGTTTGGGTGTATTATGAAAATGTTGGTCAGGTGGAGGATTGCTGCTTCAATGGCGATGGCCTCAACCTTGTAATTTGTACATAGTGATTAATATCAAAAAGGTAGAAATGGAGTTAGCACAAGATAGCACTACGCTCGCAATGTGCCTGATTTTGACGGATGGTAAAATATATGCAAATTTACAAACTACTTTTTCTAATAAGGTAGGCCTATTGTATTGCATACATCTACCAGCCTTTTTGACTCTGTAAGGTTGCACAGGAGTCGGTACTTCTGAATTATCTTCCACCTCCGATAGGAATAAGCCAAACAGGAAGAAAGATGTGAAAACTCCATGAAACAACTGCAGACAAAGACTGCCACCTGGGGATTTGAACCAGAATCATCCATATCTGAGTTCAGTGCTATATCTCTGAATTATTTATTTCTTTTTCAAAATATCTCAGTCCAGCACTATCCTTGACTTACTTTCCTTTTTGAAACACTTCTGATTAAGTACATCTTCAAAACTAATACAGTGGAATCCTGTTATAACGAGAGGGAGGGGACCGGTACGAAATGTCCGTTATAGCAGGATTCTCGTTGTAAGGGATCCAGTAATAAATTCAAAAGAAATAATAAAGTAGGCCTAATCTATGAGTTTGGTGTTCTGTATATTTCTTTTTGTTATCTCCTCCGATGATGGCTTTGTTCAACATGACCTCTAGGTCTTACTTGATCAAAAATTGAATCAGGTTTCTTTCTCTAGCGTTAGCGATGTTGACAGCTCGGCGTCGGCTATTAGAACGAAAGTTCTCTAGGCTAACTCACCCGCTGTGTTTTTTCCCCCACCCCACCCTGTGGTGCGTTCCTGCGTCTGCTTGCGCACGTCACACATTCGCTCCATGATCCATCACAGCATTGTGACCTCTCCATCCCCGCATCGGAGAAGTGAGAGGCATGATAGATATATAGGCCTAGATAATCTAGACTAGGCTCGCCTATCACTATCAGGCAATACGTTCTGCTTCAGAATGGTGTGTCTGCGCGTGCCACACACTTTCCACTCATTCGCTCCGGCCTTCATCGTTAGCACACATGGGCTCTCCCATTCTTTGTTTCGCTTGATAACCAACAAGTTTCTAAATTGGCGAAGTTTTCATGTTTCAATGGGCTGTGCACAGCAGCAGCAATATTCCGCTATAACCGACTCGCACGTTTATGTGATTGCGCTACAGCAGTATTTTGTTTACAAAGATAAAGAAGGGAAAAAAACGGGGTTTTAGAATGATGGCTTTATAACAGACTTCTCGTTGTTTCGGGACTCGTTATAAGTGGACTCCACTGTATTGAATAAACTCACCAATTCCTCATCGCAGTCAAAGAGCCGCAAAATTTCCACCACTGTCATCATCCAAACATAGAGTGCTCCCAAACCGTACCCGTAGACAGATCCGATGGAGAGACAGGCGAAGACGGGGAAGTATACCATGCCATAGACCAGCATAGAAGCGATAGCTGCCAGGGCTGCAAAAGGGGGAGGGGTGGGGGGGG